ACTATGGACCTTGATGTCCTTTTTCAGGGAATGTTTTCACCAAGTTCACTGATGTGAGTGACATTCATGTTGAAGGAGTGGTTGCACTGCTATTCTGCTGCGGAGGCAGGCCTCTTTACTCCTATGATATCGTCTCTTTCTTTCAGAAAGAGCAGAAAGATCTTTGGCTTTGAATTTTCAGAAACTTCTCTGGTTTTGTCTAGACTATGAAAGATTTTCATCTCTTAGGCAACATCTGGCAGTGTAGAGAGAGGGGTATAACTTCTCTTTACCCAGGATCTGAGGCCTTTTCCTAGTCCAACATTCATGGTTCAGGGTTAGGTCCCCTCAGTGAAAAAACTCTTTCAAAGTTATGGCAATCAACCAGTATATATACTAAATCCTCCTCTGCAAACTAAGCTATATCCAGTCAAGGTATACTTGTCTGATAATTGCAAAATAATTCAGGGATTCAAAATTCTCCAGATTTTAATTCTAAAATTCCCCTGTTGGTCATATGCAAGTGAGCAACTGAGAAACAGGGAAATGAGACTTGTCTTTGCCCTGGGTTAATGCATTGTCTCTTTTGCCTGCTTTCTTAGTATTTTTTTCACATGCAAATCCTGCATTTGTCTTTGTCTTTGTCCCTTTTGATCAGCAAAATGGCCAAAGTCTGAAAGGGGCTCATAATTACATTTGCAATAATAACTAAGATTCATTAGCAGTGAAATGCCAGATTTTGGTGCTATAATATGCCACTATGGTGGTAAGTACGAATACTTCTTAAGCAGTTGACCCAGGCTTTATTTCATACTTGTGAAAGTGGGGCAGAAATAGCAGTGGATATTGGGGGTGAGCAGAGAGTGAGCTAGACCCAACAGAATGACACAGAAGGCGATTGATATATGATGGAGCAATTTGGTGTTAAGGCCAAGTGGCCATGAGAGAAAGGAGTATAAAGCACTGGAATCATAATGGTAACAGTTCACATATTACGTTTTAAAGTTTATAACACTTGAACATTCAGGTAAAGTGCTCTCTTTACCACAGTTTTGTGGGGCAGATAGTGCACATATTGTTATCCTTATTTTTACAGAAAGAAGAAATTGAGCCTTAAGAAGTTAACTGATTAGACCAGAAACCACACAATAAGTGTCATATTTGGGAATCAACTTAGACATCTTAACTCTAGGCCTAGAATGCTCTCTACTATACCACACTATCTTCCCTCTGGGAGGATGGAGGAAAAGTAAAAAGGATTCTGAAAGTTGTGGATAAGCCAGTTAATGTTAAGTAGAATGTGTAGTGTTATACATACAAGTTGGCATGAACTCTAATTAATAATTAGCAAAGGATACTTATCACTAGTGTATGGCCAATTGGAACCACATATGTTCATATATGTTCTGTGCTTGTATCCAGTTACCATGTAGAACATAATTCTGGTGAGGATAATGGTGAAAATTTAAAAGTCTCCTTGATAGTGTATACAGTGTGATGCTTTATTTTTTATTCCAGTCTATCCCTTGCTCATTACCTCCTATGGACAAATTCTTTTACCATGTTGGTAGTTTCCAGTATAAATAACCCTTAGTATCTTTGCAATGTCTTATAAGCATAGGTATGTGAATATCTGTCTATCCATCTCTATCTATCTATCTATCTGCTTACTTCTCATCTATCTAGATATGTATGTGTATTATATGTATGTAAGTATATATGCACACCCCAAAGCACACCACAATAAAGATTTTGTTAATATATACATAAAATAATGAATTTCCATAATTTTTGATCTTTGCCTTTTAAAGTCTTTTTTTAATAATCTCTTTTGGCCAAAGTTGTAAGTATATAGATATATCACTCTCTCTGTCTCTCTCTATACCCACAGATACACCTATATGTGTGTAAGTTGTATGTGTATATACATACACACACATATATATATAATGTGTAAATTTTATATCGATTCCAGTAACTAGAAAAATATGTTGTTGATAAATTTCCCTTCAAATATTTTTAACATTTATACAGTAAAGAAAATCTGAACAAGTTTTTTTTAATCAATCACTGAGGATTGTATAAATCTCTAGTGGTAAACATAATAGAATAACATACATTTTAGAAAGCAGTGATATGTTTATTGCTCTTGGCCAAAAGAAATGACATTGCGGGATAGATATATTTTTTCAGACATTCTTGGTAGTGCCAAATGTAAGCTTCACATTAGCAAGCTTGACCTTATATAAATCAGTTGTCCTGGTTGTATTTTTTGTTACTTATTATGCTCATTTTATTCCCTAAATAATTCTTTTTCCTTTCTTAATCTATTAAAATTACTTTTAGGTTTCCAAGCCATCTCGATGATCATGTTAATCACAAAAGAAGGTTAATAAAATACATGTTCTTAAAGAATATGACTTTAGCATGAAAATAAAATAGAAAAACTTGGTTAAGTCTTGAATTCTAATTTGAATGAAGTCTTCAGTTGGCACCAGACCTCAAATAACTCTTCCAAGAAGTAGATCCTAATTTGGGAAGCTAACAATGTTTCTAGGACCATCTCTTGGTTATAACAAATGAGGGTGATCAACCTGATTTTGCACTTTGGAAACATAGGAAGCAGCAAAGGAAACACTATAGGATAGGGGTCATAGAGGTGCTTTGGACATCTGGTGCTAAAAAAAAAAAAACCAAAACTCCCCAAACAAAAACCTAATGTATTTATGCACATACAGAATTTGTTTGGGTCTTCGTGTCTAACAGCCATCTTTTCTTCTATCCTTCCAAAGCCATCCTTCAAATTACGTGTTTTTTTTTTTTAATTTTGTTTTGTGTGTGGCATCACAACACCTTTGCCCCTTTAAGGATGTTGTTGATAATTATTTAACTAGGTTTTACCTGTATAAAAATGTTAAGGAAGGAAGGTGAGGGACTATTTGATATAACAGATTTGCCCTTGGCTTAGATGCTCTCTAGGGATGATCTTAGATTTTACTCTATTTGTCCAAGACTTAAGAAGGAACTTAATATCTTGTTCTCAGTTTTCTATTGTAAATATTTAAAGTTCCTAGTCACTAAAAAAAAACTCATACCAGGTAATATTTTGTGACTCAGTTGTGTAAGATAAACAACCATTAACTATAGTACAATGGAATGAAACTATCAAAAACAAAAATTGCTACCTTTAAATAACCTGTTTTCCCATTCATTATAGTACTGTCATTTTTACACTTGCATATTTCTATCTCAGTAACCCTCCACTAAAGACCTAAGATGATGCTTCACTATGGACTTCAAGAAGTCATTACTTCTCAGAGGTTATGCCAGCTGGGCATAAGCTCTGGAAAGTCATACCAATTTCAAAACCTTTATTAGTGTGATCCCAGTAAATATACTGTATGATATTTGTTTGAGGACCACCCTAATAGATGGTGGAAATGGTTGGCTGTCAGCTGATAATTTCCTGGCTTGCAGAAAGATGTGAAGGTTAAAGCATGAAGGAGTTATGTTCTAAATTGGTAGAGATAGTTCTTACACTTATGCAATAATACAACCTTTAAGTACTGAATTATATTAATTTTAGATCTCTATGCATTTTTATTAAAGCATAATATTTCAAAAATAGTGACTGTTTCCTTGATTACAATCATGCTAAAGGAATAATTTTTACTATCTAGTTGGGAATTGTAGATTTCCCAAAGTAAGAAATAAGTATAAAATCCCAAAGAACTGTTTTGATTATATATCACACTTATTCATTTTAATGGCTACTGAACAAAAAGATGCTTTGTTTAAATTTGGTGGTGTGCAGTATTATAATTATGAAATATTAGTTTAGGGCATAAAACAGTGTGATTTTATAAACCATTGAACTTCACCTACAATGGCATTATTATAAGGAGTCAAGTATGTCATGGCTGTTGTGAAATATCTTATAGGCACATGAGTAAAAGAAAGTTATTTTGTTACCAGAGTGTTAATCCTGTCCCTGATACCAGTATTAGAAAAGAGTTTTTTGAACTTCATATGGTCACAAAAATATTACAAAGATATAAATGGAAAAAAATGAATAAGAAGTGTTAAAAGTTTATTTACACTGTTAACTATACAGACCAGTTTTAGAATTAAAAAGAACATTTGACCAATATTCAGAATAACTCCTTTTAAGTGAAATGTGATTCTATTTTCAACTTTTCTTAAAGAATCATGCAATCCCTATTATGTATCCGTTAAAGTATATACTGTCATATTAGACAATCCAAGCAATAAATAGTCCCAGTAATTCTATACTAAATTATCCAATGCTAGGATAACCATCTGTCTCAGGTTCTGCTTAAGACAGAATACATCCTAGAAATATCTCATAAATGGGAGAAAGATGTTCTTAAATCACAGGGGAAGGGACTTTGGAAGAAGGGCACGGGATCAAGATTAACACAAAGGACAAAGTAGATAGAGGCCTGGATAATAGGAATCATGTTACTAGTGGTATTTTACTCATCACCACATAATACATTCCTTCATGTTTTCTGAGAAGCTATGGTGAAAAATGGGGAAAAATGGACAACAGGACCTAACTAGAAAAAAAAATGGAAATTTTTTTCTGTCAGGTCTAAGAGAAAAAAAAATGTCAGCTAATATAGACCAATCATATAAATTTAGGAGAGAATGTATGATCATTTGTACATATTTGTACTATTCTTCAATTTGAGTGTAATGATTACATGTTATTTCTAGTGCTTTTTTGGAATTATAGCTGTCAAACAGATGAAGACACTGAGCGGGGTCAAAAGTCATATTACAATTTTTTTAAAAGTTACATCCAATAATCCATTATGTCACAACATCTCAAAATGGCGCAGGACAAAAGTTTCCTGCAAGGAAAAAGCTCTGATGTATTATGTGAAAACTTTTGCAACATTTACAGCATATAAGACAGTTTAAAAGAGAATTTGTAAGAGTTATCTAAATGAAACTGATTTTATCAGTGTACTTTGGGGCATTTCTTATTCACACAGGCTGCCTTAGAGAAAGAATGGTTCTCTTTGGATTCCACCAACTTCCCTTCCAAAACACAGGCTTTCCCAAATGAACTGCACCAGCCAAAGGTAACATGTCATGGAAATTTCTTAGTCCTAGATCTTTGTTCATTCCTTAAGGTTATGCTACACTTGGGTGATTAATACTGCAATTTATTGACTTGAAAAACACAATTACTTTTAGAAGCCTCTGACTTCCTCTGCATCCCCAGATGTAATTTTTCATGATGCTTTTTCCTTCATATGCTTCATTTTTGTCTTTATTTTGGATTTCTTTCAACACTTTGCTTCACAGTAGCAAAAAAAAAAAGATGATGGTCTTCAGCTGCATGTTTGGCAATGGGCTAAGAATTGCTAGTTGATACGGTACGTTAAAAATACAAAAGGCTTGCAACAGCTGAAGCTTCTCAATCAGAGGTCATTGAACTGTAATATCTGTTATTTATTTGATAAACTTTGAAGTTTTAGCTTTTTAAGGGTTTTTTTGCCTCTTTGTAATTATTCATCTTACTATATGCAAACTATTTCAAAAGACATACTCCTCCCCATGACAACAAAGGACATTTATGTGTACGTTTCATAAATTTTCATTTCTTTAACATTTTGTCTTCATAATGAAGTATAAATTACAAATGTTAAGTCATATTTTCTATGGCTTTAAGGCAAACAATTAATGTAAATTGATAAAAATGTTCAAAATTCAAATGAAAGTAAAGTAATGCTGGATTTACATTTTCCTTTCTGATAAGAATTCAGGATATTTGTCCTCTGATGACACTTCACTTAATTTACCATATCATCCAGAGCAACCTTGGCAGTGTAATGAGAGAGAAAATCCATTCTCTCCTGAAGACTCTCAGTTTACTGACAGGTAAGTTAAATCAATATATTTGCATATGTGTGGGGAAGTAGCTCATCACCCAAATAAATGAATAAATAGCATTCTTTGAAGCACTAGTTATAATTTAGCAAAGAGTGAGGGTAGAGTTCTTTTTTTCCCTATTATATCTATTTATAATAAGATTAATTAATTGATTGAAGTTTAGGTTTTTTTAAAGGATAATTTTTAGAGATTTTTTTTTAAATTATGCAGACTGTAAAAGTTAGTTGTACTTTTAAAACCAAGTAAGTTCCACAGCTAGCTTTCTAATAAAATTATTTTCAGCTGGGAAACACTTAAATATAGCTCCCTAGGTATAGATAAGGATTAAAGGAGAATTTCTTTCTGTGCTGCATTCCTCCACAGAAAGGGATTGAAATATGCTTTCAGTAATTGAAACGTAAACATTTTAAATTGATGGCAGGCTTTTATTACTTTCTAAGATAAAGGCTTCTTCTGTTATTTAAAATCGATTTTATTTCCGCGTTTTACAGAGCATAAACAGTTTGCAGTTTAACAAAGAATGAAAAGCAATCATACTTTAACTCAGTTGTTACTAGTTCTCTTCTGTTGCCAGATCAGAAAGTCAAAAACTGTCCTCTTCATCTGATTTCAAGAGCTATATGAAAATGTCCCTAAGATCTAAAAAAGAAGAAAAAATTTCAGAAGAATGGTATGTTTTCTATATATTCTCTCTGTCTATATTATGTTACAAATTAAAAGATCAAGATATTTTTAAAGGAGGTGTTTTCTTCTGTTTTAATATTGATTTTGCCAGATTTATTTGACATAATTCTATGAATATTTTGATTTTTTTCCATTAATTTCAAATTTTATAATAGAATAATTTAAATGAGATACAATAATTATGTTAAATATGTATACCCATATAAGTATATATATTACCTATACATGCACACTTACACATACACACATATGTGTGTATGCACATGCATAATACCTGTTGTCTATTGAATTGTTGTTTTTACCTATTTTACTATTACATTTTAGGGGCTTTAAAGATATTTCTACTGCTCAGTTGATGCTAAAGAGAGCCCAGAAAATGAAATCTAAGAAATCAAGGCATAAACTAGGTGGGTGAATGATACAAATGTATTTTAAATACCTGATTTATCTAGTGTAGATTTTCTCTTTAATCCTCTTTAAGGATTATCTGCAAATGTGTTTCTTAAAACATCCTCATGTTAAGTAAAGATAGAAATGAGAAGTCAGAAATGGTTATGCACTCACAAGTTGACTCTAAAGAAGACAAAATAGATCAATAAATTAATATTATTTTGAAATGGTTAGTTATAGCCCTAAATAGAATATTCTCTGAAACAGGTATATTCTAGGTTATGCAAAGATGAGCATTTTTGTTTATCTCTGTGTCTTTGATGTTTGGTATTTGTTGATTTCTGAAAATGTTGAACTGAGAATTTAAGCAATAATACAACTCCAAACAGTTTTATTTCTTTTAACTTTGTTGATTCCTTCCTTATAAAGACTTCATGGCATGTGTTCAGTCATCATGTGTTTTAGATTCCTGTTTAACTTGTAGGCTGTTTATATAAATTTCTAAGTTTCATGAACGGTAATCAGTTTTAGAGATTTCATGATTGACACCTGTAGTATAATAGATGGCTTCCAAGCACCAGCACGTGGTTTTGTAGAGCTTGGAAAGCGTCCAGATGCTTCGTTCCTTCTGTCCCACTTGCCTGACTTGACCACTCTATGTTGCCAGCCTTCTTTCTCTGGGCACTTCTTATCACTTCGGTGGATCTGTTGAAAGTTCTCAGCTATTTTACAGATGTTGTTGGTGGAAAAAGCAGGTTCCTATAAATTTTGATGTCTCCTTTTTTTTTTCATGCTTTGTCTTAAGGAAACTTTTTCAAAAGGTGAATACCAATGTTGTGTGCTGTTGGCATTTGCCATTAGTCATGTAAAGTTCACAATCAAAATGTGTCTGAGGGGACAACTGCACTCTAGAGACTGACATTTTTAGACTTTCATCAGCTTCTTTAGCATCAATTTCTTATAGTCAAAGAAAAAAAGGTAGAGTCGTACATTTGTCTATGGCTAAGAATCACAAAATAGCTATAATCCTAATGAACCAGGAGCTGAAGTAGCCCAAACAATCATTTTATTTTCCTTTGACTTTTTCCAGTGTCTCTTACATTTTGTATAATTAATAAACATTAGTAGATTGATTATCACTTTCTCAGGTTTAAAGATACAACAAAGTATTCATTTTCCTATACGTGTAAACTAGATTGTCAGGGCCATCTTTGGGTAATTGGAATGTTATCCATTGTTTTACATGTTTAAAATATTTGTGTCTATAACATTTTAGGATATCAATTTATTTAATGTAAATAAACATGACATTTCTTATCACATTCAGAGCTCCTATCTTCTCATTTGAGCTACATCACTAAGAGCTCTGCCACCGAAATGCTATCAGGCAAAATGGAAATAAAGAAAGCATAGGCTCTATGCCCCATACAGAGAATATTGATATCCAAGAAATGCCTTTTGATTTCTTAGTAGATTACCCTCAGCAGCAGCAGCATTATCATAACTTTCATCATTAACAAAATATATATTAAATGCCATCTCTGAGAGTGGTAGAAAGCTCAGTAACATCCCTGTAAATTCTAGGAGAAGGCTGTGTGCCTCATTCATACAAGAGCTGAGATTTTTTAGTACACAGCTCTTTTATGCAAGGTATAAAAACACTAGGCATAGTGCTTTTCTGAACTGAGACATAAAAATCACAAAATGGTTGAGCTACAAGGGATTTTAGAGATCATTTTGTCTCACCCTGTTGTTTTACAAATGGGAAAACAGTTCCAAAAAGGTGCTTAAGGTCATAAAATCAATCAGAGTCAGGAATACAACTTAAACCCAGATTCTTTCCTTTCTATTATGCTGTCTTTGGATGTAATATAAGAAAGCCTCAGATAGCACAAGAATGAGGATATTGACCACCAGGCTATTTGCTCTACCATACTTACTATTTAAATCAAACATATACGATGTCAGGCATTAGATTTTTCTGGCTTAAAGTTATACTAGTTTATGTAAATAATGTTTTGGCACTTGTGTTTTATAGAATTCTTTAACTGAATATGCATAGATATATTGTAAGTTAATTCTTTTTGTAAATTTATAAATCATTATAGTTAGTTTTACTTATAAATCTAGCAAAGTATACACCCATACACAAAAGTCCACATTGTAGATTTGCAGAAACCAAAGAAATTACCAAATAAAAAACAAAATAAACCTATAATGACCAGTCACAAGGGGGCATAGTAGGGTAACAAATAGATAAGTGCCTCAGATTTCTAAGTTATAATTTCAATTTAAACCTTATAACATATGTACACATATATGCATATACGTTTAATGACAGTGCTTACTAAAGCTTGACTTGTTAGGCATAAAGTCTTTTAAGTGATATTTTTGTATTTAAGGCCATAACTTATTTTAAGAAACTTTCTGTGATACCTGGTGTGGTTTTGCTTTTTTGTTAGGTTATCGTTGTATATTGCTCATTTCCAAAATTTTTCCCCAAATTAGTCTAAACCCAACTGTCAAATGAAAATTTGAAGCGAGAAGATGTTCACGTGTCCATTCATCTTTAACACTGCTGTTCCCCAGGCCTTAACAGACATGTATTTGAATGCTATATAGCCTTGTAATGAAAAGCATAAGGCATAAAAAAGGAAAATTTTACCAATTCACTCTTTAATAATGTATTTTTCCTAATTGGATATATTGATTATAAGTAGATGGCTTTCTACTTTTTTTTCTTTTTTGAAGATATTAACCATAGATTGATAGTTTCAAGAAAGCCATTAAACTCTCTGGTGCTCAATTTCATCATCAGTAAATTAAGAGTGTTGGATTCTCAGGCATCTTACAGCTCTAAAATTTTATGATTCTATAAAATATGATGAACAATGCAATTCTGCCTTATAAGAATCACTACCTAAAACCTTTTTTAAGAATAAAAACCAAATTATTTTCCAACTTACATTTTAATTATGTTCCAAAGAAATTACAGCAATTTGCAAACATAATGCTTAATTATTGGTAATATGTATCATACCAGTCTATTTTTTTCACCTGAATGGAACTCTTCAGGCCACCAGAGGGCAGCATAATCCATGGGAGTCCCAGAGAGATTTGTCCTCTCTTAAGGGTCAGAGACTAGAAACATTCATTCAGATAGGGTCAGACTGTGTCCTAAAAGTTAGACAAGGCTGTGTATCATCAGGGAGATGGAAGATTGATTGAATGGATTATGACAATTAAAATGCAAAATTCCTCCATGAAAAATTTTAATTTATTTTAAAGCAAGTGACCTATTCTATCTATCTCTCTTTTCTAGTTTTGTTGTCTATAGATTTTTATTAGGGAATTTGCTTCAAGGTGAGATAAAGAGTATATGAGGGAAGGGCCAATTAATTTAACACAATGGGACAAAATGATATAAATCAATGGGGTGGCACTGGCAAAAGAGGAAGATGTGGCAGGTTATTAGCAAGTAGCAGGAGAATGGTGGTCTATGGTTGGCAGTCATTTGGGTAGAATTTAATTTGGGTAACATTGAAGGATGTGGTGTCATTTTCTAAAGGTGATTGATGAGATGGGACAGGAGAATTTAGCAGGTAACTAACTGATGATTGTGTCTTTATGTGAATTTGTTGTATTATTGGCTACAGGTATTTTCTTTTTAAATTTTTTCTTTACATGATGCATTTAACAGATTAACCAACATGATCATTTAAATATAGGTTGTAAATGAAACTGAATTTCAGTTACAAAAGCTTTTCTTTGTATTTTAGATGTAATGTAATAGTAATAGAATCATTTTTAAATTGTTCACTGATGCTACTTTATTCTTCCTTTTTTTTACATCACGTTCACTACTTACAGCTTCCTCCCCCATACAAACCCTCCCTCATACCAAATAATTATAATTATACAAAACAAAATTCACACATCTGCTGTGTCTGAAAAATGTCTCTCATTTTGCACTTCCAGTCCATCACCTCTTGGTCATGAGGTAGGAAGCACGATCTATTATCAGTCTTTAAAATTAAGTATTGTTTTTTAAATGAAGGAGTTAAACATGAACCATTAGTAACAAAACTCACATCAGTAGTAACCTTTTTTTCAGCGGTCTGTGTATAGAAGAGGGTGAAGGGTTTGTTTGTTTGATGATTCAGCTTGGAGTTTAACAGTTAACATTTAGTGAGTAGAAAGAAGAGGGAAACATAGGGCCTATGATATTATCAAAAAGGGAACCATACTAGCATCAGCTGAAAGGTAAGGGTGAGGTTTAGCTGGCTAATGATTTATTTTAAAAAATGTTAAGGTCCGTTACATGAAGGTAATGCAGAGAATTATAAAGTAGTTCAATAAATTTAGAATAAAGGAATATTTTGATGATTATATGGCAAAGGAGAGAACCCTTTTGATTAGTTCTTATATGGAACATTCTCCAGTAGGAGTAAAGTCCATGATAGAATATTTATGTAAGATAGCTGAGGTGAAGGACCTACTGAAGTGATAAACGTGAACGAATAAAATACAAATATGCTGAGGTTATACATGGAGATGTTCAGATCTACCAGGCTAACAATAGAAAACTAGAATATCAAGAAGGCCCACCAGGAATTAATAGTCTACACAGGCAGAGTCTTGAGTGGGATTACTTGTCCTGAGAAGTGAGTGGGAGATGACTGACAAAGGCCTCATGAGCATCTCTAGAACTGATTAAGTAATCCAAAAGTAGAATCACATTCATCAGGGATCAGGGAGGATCATTAATTATATAGCTGCAGGAGGCAGCATGACAATGTAAGAAACAATGGATTTGGAAACAAGATTGGATACCTGGCACATAGTAGCCACTTAATAAGTGTTTATTGGATAAGATTGGTTAGTTCTAACCCTGCCACTCATCAGCCACGTGATTTTTGGTGAACCACAACCTTTTTAAACTCAGTAGCAATTATAGTAAATAATAATAATTACTTTTAGGAGGCCGCTAGGTGGCTCAGTGGAGATAGAGCACCGG